GCTGGGCTGAAACACTCCCCCCCCACACACACACCCAGTGCACAAATTTCGTGCACCGGGCCCCTAGAGTGTGTGTGTGTGTGTGTGTGTGTGTGTATGTGTATATATATAACGTTTGATCCACACTTCATACCATACCAGGCTAAGTTTCAAATAAGTCGAAGATATAATTTTAAAAAACGAAAGCCTGAAAGAGTCATTAGCCAGGGGACATTGTTTTACACGCTGAGCGTGGAGGGCTGTGACTCCCAACGGAGCCGTACAGGAAAGGCTGCTGGTCCGATAGTAAAACACGATTTAAACCTCTGCCTGGCAAAGCTGCCAGGAGCCAAGTTAAAAGAAACCATTCAGAGGGACAAGCATGTTTGCCCCCGTGAACGGGCCCGCACGCCGCTAAAACTGACTGACAGTGGGGTGGGCGGGCGGACACAGAAGGTGAACAGGTGGAACGCACGGGAGTAAAATGGAGAGTTCTTACACCTCTACCAGGAAGCTCAGCCTCCCTCAAAAAATAAAAGTCACGCCCAAGAAACCTCGCGTGAACACCCACCTCCCACCCGGCAGGCTGGCTGTGGGAAGAGGGAGTCTGCCACCCGTCCCAGCGGCACCGCCAGGGTGCCTGGCAGCACCCACCAAAACCAACGCGCCCGCCCCCGGCCAGGAGCCTCCTCCCGGAAGGTCTCCCACAGACAACAGCAGGACAGAGACACCCACCGCGGAGGGCAGTGACAGCACAGCCCCACGGGGAATGCAGGAGAGGAAGTGACGCGCCCTGCTCCTCGGGGGAGACTTCACAAACATAAGGGGGATGGAGGCGAACCCCTAGACGACGGGCACCGTGAGCCCATGGTACAGAGCACAGGCTGGGCACCTTATGAACACATCTAGTTCTCACGGGAGGACCCTTTCATCGACCCCCACTGAGCCCCCCTCACCCCCCAGCCACGAGCTGCAGGACCAGGACGTACCATCCTTCCTGGGAACCTCTGTCTCCGCTCCTCCTGCCTGGCTGGCTGGGGGCCCGCCACTGCCGCCTCCTTCCATCCCGGAGCTACCAGCAAGTCTGTGTCTGCAGGGAGGAGGGGGCAGGTGAGGAGGGAGGAGGGAGGAGGGGGCAGGTGAGGAGGGGGCAGGTGAGCAGGGAGGAGGGGGTAGGTAAGGAGGGAGGAGGGGGCAAATGAGCAGGGAGGAGGGGGCAGGTGAGCAGGGAGGAGGGGGCAGGTGAGCAGGACTCGGCCCAGGCCCGAGTCCAGCGCTCAGGGACGCCCAGCAGCGCGGACAGGGACTCGGGCCTAGAAGCCGCCTGGGCTGCAGCTCCAAACCCTCCACGACGC